AGAGCAGGATTATAACATTTTCCTAGCTGGCAACTCAAGGATACAGTTGAAAGTAAAATGCCTTAGACTGGTTGGGGAGTTGTGAGAAAAAAAGAAAAATCATTTGGCCTCCATCCTTCCAGATTTCTTTTCAGTGATCTCAGTGGGATGAGCTTTGCTCCTCTCCAGAATTTGAAGATGTGAAGGCCTTGACCCGCCCACCCAGTGGGACTCTTTGGGAGTCAAGAAAAGAACCAAACAGTGCATTAGAAATAGTGGCAACTGAAATAACCTTTAAGAATAAAACTTGTTGGCTTTGGGTCTGAACCCTCCCTCAATATCCAGCAAGCCCCAAAAGGAGAACTTGCCTCATGCCCCCACCTCTTTGGCAAAGGATTCTGCTGTGTTTTCCTGGGTCCTATCACAAACCCATCACCACTGAGATCTGTAAAAATCACAAAGCTGCTTTTGCGTGGATGACGTGGCCCATTAAGGAATTAGAAAAGCATAGAGACGGAATCTGGAAAATTCTTGGTCTTTCCAAGTATACCTTATATTTTGCATGTCAAACAGTCCTGGGAAGCAGAAATGCTGCAGAGCTTCAGGGCATAAATACCAGGAATCTGTAGAGAAGAACTTTCAGGCTGATGAAGGCAAAATAATTAGAATTTGGGTATCAGTGTTCTATGGCAGCTATACCAAACCAACCTAGCAAAGCTTCTCTTTGGATTATTTGAAAATACCTTGAAGCAAAGTTTAAAGGTCATGGTTTTGATTGGAAAAAAACCAGGAATTTCAGAATTTGCTATTTTCACACTCACTCCTTGGCTTTCTGTATAAACATATACCGGTATTTGTGGAATTGTTCAATACAGTATGGGGCTTGAGTGCCTGGCCGTAAATTAGCATATTGAGGCTTATGTAGGAAAACAGGACAAATTGAAGTTTACCCTAAGGCTTATATTTTTGTTTCTCATAAAATGGGCAATAGATTATGAAATAATTCCAATCTTTTATTTTTAAATAATACAAAAAGTGATTAAAATGTGAAAGAACTAGATTATATTGGCAATACTGAATCATATCATGAACTGAATTGATATAAAAGGTTACATTTTTTCCTATCCACATTCAAAGCTTTAGAAGTAGAATTTGTTGAAAAAGCAGCTACTCAGATTCAAGTAATTAAAGTGATAACATTAAGTCGTCAATAATGTCCACAAATAAGAGTTCTTCCATTGACTTACAAGGTTCTAGATGTCTGCATTAATTTAAATGCTCAATTTTAATAACTTTTTGACTAAATATCTGTAGGGATTCTCAGTCATCCAGGTCATACTTGTCTCAAAAGTGCTTTTTCAAAAGGCAACTGGACTGTTTTTTTCCTTGACGAAGAAGAACAAAACGTTTTGTTTCTCATCCAAGAAACTCCATCAGTTGTAATGGGGGATGGGATGGCATATAGGTACTGACAGTTGAGACTGGCTGGTGGGAGGATGGAAGGATAGTTTCTGACTGGGTGGTGGAGGAGGGGATGGAAGGCTTGTGTTTCTTTGCAGTCATCTGGTCTGTTAGCACTCTCTGAGAGCTCTTGAAACCACTTGGGGGTTCATGCGTGCCCCCAGGGTGCAATTGGTTGTGGAATCTTCTTGGCACTGATGCAAGCTACATTGTAGACTGGTGGTGTCCTGCCCTTTTGACTCTTTTTCCCTTAGATGGCCAATAGGTGGTTCTCATTATAGGTTTTTTTTTTCTTGGAACTAGCAATGTCTTTTCAGTTCCTTTGTCAATTTGCCTTTTATTAAATTGAAATATATACTATATTTCTGTGGCAAAATCTCCGTAGTTTCACACAGTCTTCATGCCAATACTCTTCTACAGTATTTTATTTCTCAGTTATATATTGAACATTATCTGGATAAACCAAGCAGTAGTTTTCTTGGAAAATCATTTTACACCCACGGCTTGTCTGTTCTTGTACTTGAAAGACTGTTTTCCAAAGATGGGATTTAATACACCATGAATCAGCATTTTTATATCTGTTTCTCATTAGTTCTACAAATCAAATTGTTCCCTAATTTTGATCTATTTGCAAAGTACAACAGGTACTTAAGTTTCACTAATTAAATAAGCTAGTTTGAACTCTTGAAATACTAGAATATTAGCCCAGTACACAAGTGAATTTANTGGGCAGGTTATTAAGATTTATGGTACAGATTTTTTCCTCTGGCAAGGTTTTGCTTTGCTCCCCCTTTTTTCTTTTCCAGTCATCACTTTGGAAGTTTATCTCTTCCTCTTCTACATAGGGCAACACTCTTTCATATGGAGAGTGCTTCTCCAGAAAGGCTTCCTGCTGGTTAATTTAAATGATACTGCTTCTAATTTTACTTTTTTTCTCAGATTGTTTTCTAAAATTACATCATTACAAACAAAGTCAGTGTTTAGTTTTCTTCCGTCCAAAGAACATTAATAATCCCCTGATGTTCTGAAGGCAAATTGTGAGATGTGCTTCTTTTAGTTGCTTCAGATAATATTTTATCTTGGCTTTCCAAGTGCTTTAAAATTTCCAGAAATGAATTTGCATGATAATTCTTTGCAACCGAAAGCTTCTTGTTATATAGTTATATAGCTGAGAAATCCTGCTGCTTTGCTGAAATAGTCCCTGCAGTTTAATCCGCATATTACCTTCTCCAAGAGTATTGTTCCCTTAATGATTATGGACTCAATGAACACAGGGTCCTGTAATATATCTTTCATTTTACTTTGCATAATGACTTGATAATCCTATTCTAACATCTTTTCCTGGATATTCAAATAAATTTTATATTAAATTGATTACCGTATATTATTCTCTGGTATAGCCCCTGCTCTTTGAAACATCCTTCCCTCAGACATTAGAATGGCTCCAATTTGGTTGTCCTTTCATAAAGCCTTAAAAACATGCCTATGCCCCCAGGTCTGGGGCCCCAGATGTGTTAAGGGCATCTTCAAGACTCAGTTCCCCTTGTTGGGACACATCCATTCAGAATGCTTAATTTGTCTATTTGTAAACTAATGAGCACTTTTTTAGAAGACAAACCTTTTTTCTTCCTAACCTTGAAATCTGTCTCTCATCTTGGTCAAGACCTCCTTGCTGGTTAACAGGTATAGTTAAAGAACTTAGGGAAAAAACTAAAATCATCAGAATAACTTTAGTAAGAAAGCTCCTTGGGTGAAACATAACAAAGATAAGCTTAATCCTGGAAATAACAGTGATAGAAAAGGCTTGAGTGTCTTAAGTTTGTCTATAGCTAATAACTTGTACTGTGCTCTTGCACAGTCCATTATAGAGAGAAAACAAATCAGGTGAGAACCTGACCTGCACAGGTCAGAGTCAGAAGAAAAAAGGGACTGAACTGAGAGGCAAAGCAAGTGACAGTCTTAAGAATATCATTATAATTTATAATAGAGTGTTACGCATGGATATAAAATGTAAATTTTTAAGATAAAAGGAAGTTACCTCTTCATCTATTGCCCTTAGTAATCAGCTTCACAGGTATAGAAAATATTGCATGCAAAGCTGAATTCCAACAATATAATCCAGTTCCAATAATTTTTAGAATCAAGTTTCCAGACCATCTTCAATGGCAGCTTCACATATACTGTACAGTATTGTAATAATCCGGGATGGAAGTTGGAAGTTACCAAGCTGTGCATTATTAAAATGAGACCACCTCCATGCAAATATGGTCATAAATGCTTAAAGCTTTTATGTGCTATAGAGTTTACTTGTTCCTGTAATTACTGAAGAAATCTAGAAGCACCCCAGAACACAAACTTGATACTTTAGGGAATTATCTCAAAGATGCTTTTCAAATGGCAACTGCACTTTTTTGGTTTTTTTCCTTAAAAACATTTTGCTTCTTATCCAAGAGGCTTCTTCAGTTCTAAACAACCATGACCTGGATGATTGAGAATCTCCAAAGATATCTAGGGGAAATACAACCTTTTTCAGAACACCTCAACTGGACATAGCAACCATCTACTAGTGTAACTGCCTTGTCCAGTTAAGTTTCAATTTGTTTATCTACATCCAGTCCAAGTATTTCAAAACTTCCTCTGGAGCATATAAAAAGCAGATAGAGTAGCATGTCATCAGCATACTGGTGTCATTTTATTATAAATCTTGGAATGTACTCAGCAATTTAACTTTTTCCCAATCATGTTCAGACCTACGGCCACTAATTTGGGGCTGGGGAATTCTGGGAATAGAAATCCACACATCTGGAAGTTCCTCAAAGTTGAGAAACCAAATGTAGATGTTATACAGATGGAGGATAAAACAGAGTTCTGCATCTGAATACCACCCTCCCAATCAGTAAGTATGGTAGAAGGAGAATAACTAAAACTCTTTCATTCATAGTATCAAAAGGATACTATAGTCTGAAGGTACTGAAAACTGCTGAGATGTCTGGTGACCTCAGCAATAACTCCAACTAAAATATAATAAACTCATCCAAGACTGGATTTTATCAGCCACCCTTTATTTAGTATCTGATGCAGAGAAAGGAGGTTGACCACAAGTCTCTAGGCCAATTTCTATCACATTATAGTCTTTGATGATGATGCAATTCTTCTTTTTTAGTAATGATTTTTTAAAAAATTTTCTGACCCAGTTAAGCTCCCCATTCTAGATCTAATAAGCCATTAGGACCAAGGATCAAATAGGTAGTTAGCTGAGCAAAGCTTATCTAAAATATCCTCCTGTCTTAAAACGTAAACCCATCCAAAACAATCTAATCGAATAATATTTTGGATGCCTTTATATACTGAATTATCAAAGCTGGAGTCCAGATCGTGATAAATATGAATATTATGATTATTTACAAAGGCAGTCTGGCTGGAAAGGCAAAAAACAAGCTCTATGTACATGTAAGTCCCATTCTTCAGTGTTCGTGACTTTTAATGTTTTATTTCCATGTATATACATTTAGAACAAATATTTAACTCCTCTAAATGCACAATATCAAGAACCTAAAGGCCTGAGTCTTCATTCTTTATTGCCTGCAGTTCATCAGCAACCACAAGTCACAACATATTAAAGTTGCATATGATTCATGGATCAGATTCAATTTTCTTATGTTAAAATTACTTATTTGCTTACAATACAGACAATTTTCTGCATATATTAACAATCAATTTGTCAAATGTTTCTGGGCTCTTAGCCAATGAACAAGGTTAAAAATACTGGGAAACATTCCTATGTACTTCAATATTTTAATATATGAACTTAAAAATGGCAGCTGCTTACCCAATAAAAAACATATGTCATGAATAATTTGGGCAATATTTGTTTTGAACCAATCAATAATATTGACCATAATTTTTAATTCTATATAGTTTTAATGTTTTCTAATAGATCACATATAATTAATGGCTACAGTGTTTGAGCATAAAAACAAAACGTCAAATAAATGTTTATCTTTCAGCAGGACAATGCTTAGTACGCATAGACAAATAAAAGTTATTACATTCCAAAATCAGTTACAAAATAACAGTCAATACTTTGACCATATAGACTCTGACTGTTGAATTAAAAAGTTATTCATATAAAATCCTGATGAAATTTACATGTTTATGACTTTAGCAATGAAAAACTGAACCTTTCTTTTCAAATATATTTATCCTCTAGTTCTGTAAGTTAAACAACTACTCGTGTGCAAAGAATCAAAAAGCTCAGGTTGCATTCAAACCAGAAACTTTATATAGATGGGAATAAGAATCAGTTACTGGAATATACTTTTTTCACAGCCAAGTTGTTAGGTGTGTGTAGAATTGGTCTGATATTGCCAATTCTGAATTGAAGATAATCTCTAAAGTATATTTAAATCTCTAAAATATATTTTGAAACTTGGCTCAACTACCGTATATGCCATTCTACAAATATTAGTGTACCAGAATGAAAACATTTTTGAAATTATACTCTCACACATACTATATTAGAGTTAAGAAAGCAAAAATACCTAAATAACTTTTAAGCATACTACTACCTAGTCTTATATTAGGGTTAGAGAACAGATATATTTCAGGGATCTTTAAGATATACTATTAGGCATTATTGATGGCTACCACTCCCATTATCAAAAACATACGCCTAAGTTCTTTGGTCTAATTGATAATTAGAACTTTTTTTAAAGGCTGTGGTTACCTCTGTATAAGGAAGGGAATTCATTACTAGGGTCTCATTAAAACCTAGAGTCTTGTTTTTCTTGCATAGAACAGCATAAAATTCAACATACAAGCAGAGTTTAATGAAAGGTTATTGTACAGAGACAGTTACATAGGCAGTTAAGTAATTATCAAGTCTTTACTAAATTAATTAGAAAATAGCTTTTAACAGCTTTTTAATCGGGAAGATTAATATATTTATGTAAGAACTAACAAAAAGGTTTTGTAGGAGCAAAATACAAACTAAACAATAATTAATCCCCACTAGACAGAATACAATGACAATTAACATCTTTAAAAACCTACACATACAGATTCTATGTTTTCATTAACATAAAATTTAAACTATGTATAACAGTACAGATATTGGTTTCCATGACTAGATTCCCTGAATCTAAAACAAGGGCAAAGTAACTATGGCACACATTTCTGAGTCTGATATGAGACAACATTCATCTTCAACAAGAAGATATTTACAACAGAGACATATTGCTTTGATGGGTAACAACTGCCATCTGGAATATTGGATTGAATTTGCTATTCAACAAAGTGGTTGCTTACTTGAAGAACATTTTCTGACACTTCTTCATCTGATACCTGCAACAGGCACTTGCTGCTGCTTGCGAATTTTGTTGAAAAGTTCCATGTATTGAACTATTGTATCACCTGGACTGTAGATGCTGTCATGCTTATTATTGAACACAGAGGGGATACCAGGGGCATGATTTCCCATAAAGCTCTGCATGAATTCCATTACAAGATTCCAACAGTCAGTGGCTACCACACATGGACAATATTCCACCTGACAACAATTAACAAAAAATTTAAATAATGAATCAATCACAATTGGTTCTACAGCTAATAACAATTAGACAGAAAGCTTGAGGGAAAAGGGAATATTCACACATATGTTCTCAAAATCTAGTTATGTTTAAATTTGGACATGTGGCATATTGCTACAAAACAAATATAGGGCTTTCTTGCAGATAAAATTCAAAATATTGCAAACATGCATCTTATAAAATGACTCATAGCAAGTAAGCTTTTAAAATTATCTACAAAATTGTAATAAAAAACATCAGTCCTTTCACAAACTTTCATTCCTTGTCACAGACCTATACTATCCCAGTATTTCTTTACCAACATATCTTAAAATTTCTCCATACATTTCCTATTTTTTTTACTGAACATTCTAACATCCAGCCAAGTCAGTGAAATAACCCTGGATTCCATCCATTTGGAACATTGCAATTTCCCCCCAAAATTGATTCCTGGTTCTTGCATTATTACCCATCAACTTTCACCAGCCTACAAATTTCTATTTTCATATGCCCCCAGAACTCTCATGCTGGCTGGGCTGGGGAATTGAGTTGAAATCCATAAGTCTTAAGGTTGCCATGGTTGGACACTCCTGATCTAGATGATGGAAAATCATAATTTTTGACATACGTTTTAGCTCCAATCCTGTTCTTTATTTACTGACTTAAATCACCTAAATTTTAGACTCTAGCCAGGGATGTCAAACTCACAACATCACATGACGTGTTGCGACGTATCATAACTTTTTTCCATTGCTGGCAATGGGGTGGGCGCGGTTTCGCTATGACGCATCCAGCCTGTGGGCCGGCAGTTTGACACCCCTGCTCTAGGCAGCTTTCATTACAATTAAATCTACATCTTCACTTCCATGCATATATTCTATTCCACTAGGCAAGATCAGAGTAATTTCATTCACATTTATATCATTCTTCTACTTTCTCTTAGACTGGTCAACTTTCTTAGAGTAACACATAAGTTACCAGCTTTAATCATATCTATGCTACATTAAGAATTCCCTGCTAATCCTAAGGCACAGATGTCAGTTTTGAATATTTTGGCCAGTTTGCCACAAGACAAACTCCAGTTTTATCCCAAGCTTGTTTATGCTGTTCTAGTCAAGCTAGGTTCTCTATTCTAGAAATGTAGCCAATATACTATGTCACCTTTCACTAATTATGCTATATGTGCAGCATGATGACACTTTCAGGATATGATCTCAAACAAAAAACTCCTATTAGTCTAAATATTAATCATGCTATTTAATTCAGACAACTCTTACCTCAACAGATATTCCACGGGCACTGGGCCCCATGGTGACTGTGCCGACCTTCACCAAAAAATCACAGTACTGATACCGAGTGCCTCGGCTCTCTATTTTGTTCCCTTTGGCATTTTGAAAGAAGCCTTTCAATTTCACCATAAGAATGTCAAAGTTGGTATCTGCTATGAGGCATGGGCCATTTTCAAAGAGAGCAAAACAGCTGAGGGGATATTCCGAATTGTGCATCACATACATCAGTTTGGCAGCCTGTCCTGAAACAACAGCAGCATGAGTTTCACTTCAAGAAAACTATTTCTTCTCTCTTAGAAACCTGAAAAATTGTAACATCTATTACATTTTTATTACTCTTTCAAAGCACTTGATTTTATTACAGAGTATTTATCTTATTCATTCTCCATAAAAGATGATGGTTGCTGATGATTTATGTAAGTAAAATGTAATGATGTTATATAATAGTGTTAAAAACAATATTCTAAGATAGAGGAACGTTTATCTTATCTAACATAGACTCTTCAAGTAGCAATTGAGTTACTTTACTCTATTCAGAAAATTATTGCTTGTTCGACCCTGTTCAGTACTGTTTTCCATTTTTCCCCAATTTTTTTTTTTTTACATTCTAATGCAGCAGTCCCCAACCTTTCCAGCTTTGTGGACTGACAGCAATGGGGGGGGGAGCATGCTTTCGTGTGTAGCTCCATTTGCGCACTCGTCTGCTGCTTGTGCAATCCAGTTCCGAACAGGCCATGGCCTGGTACCGGGCCATGGCCCAAGAACTGGGGACCCCTGTTCTAATGGACATATTTTAAGGTGCCTGAAAATGAAAACTGACAGGGATCATTCTTGTACAAAATCGTAATAAATACTTGCAAGACTTAACAATACAATCCAGGAAAGGAAGATACCTTAGCAAAACATGGAAGAGACTTCATGGAGTAAGGATTTACTTCCAGATGAATGGATTTTAGTCTTAAATGTGAAGGATGTATCTTTCAAACAAGCAGAGCTTGCTTCCAGCTGACTTGAAAGAAAAGGGATTTTCTCTGCTATGAATGTTTACCAGTAGGTTAGGCCTAAGCAAAACTAATTTTCAGGAGAAACAACTGTACATTCTGTGGACAGCCACATAAACAAATGTTTAAATAGAATATTTGGTCCCGCCATATGAATTTCCTTACAGCTAGCATCCAGAACAAGTAAAGTACTATCTATCTATCTCTTCTAATACAGATCAGGAGAACACTCCCTAAATAAGTGTTTTTAATACTGCAGTGTTTTAAATCTTATAAAAATTAGGTTAATCCTCTATTTGTTTGTTCTACTGAGCACATGGAAGGCAACTTTTAAATCAAAATGGTACCAAAAAGGAAAGCATATTTGTTTACATAAGAAACAGGATGAAAATGCATAAACAGTTCTGAAAAGCATTAAAATGGCATTCTACTCATAAGGGGACAGTTAAATTACTGAGTTCAATCCTGCTTTGTCCAAAATCCAATTTAAAGCATTCCCAGCAGCTTATTTAGATTCTTTAATGCTTCTCAAGCTGGTAACTGGTTTCACTGTTACTCTTACCATTCGGAATTTTTTCCTAATATCCAAAAGAATTTGGCTTTTTGTAACTTAAGATAATTTCATTTGAAGAGCAGTATTATACCACCTCCTCAGTCAATGTTTCTCAAAGAATATTTATTAAGTTTCTTTAGTCTCTCTTTGTAGGACTTAGTTTCCAGATAGAGTTATCCTCACTGGTCTTCTTTAGGAAGGATTCTGTGAAATACAGTCCCTATAAATGGTTATGTAAGACAAAAGAGTCTATTGATCAATATAAAATAGAATGGAACTATTCCTTCCGGTCATTCGAAAACTACACTTCTAATGATGGAGCCCAAAACTGAGACTGACTTTTCAGCCACATCTTGCTTTTGTTTGTGATCAACTACAATTCTAAGTTATATAATAAGTAATTCTTTCCAGCAACCAGGTAGGAAAGCTTGATATTGACCAGGTGTATTTGAGCAGACAAGCATGTTTTTGCACTTGGGAAAAATGTAGCGTTGCTGTAAGTTATCAAGATTGCTGTTAAACTATTAGCTTTTCCTATCACTTAAGACTTAATAGTACATCATCTTCACATGACTGAGGTACGACAAACAACTAAAGCACAGTAACTTTAATTCTTCAATAAAGTATCTAAATTAATGAAATAGCCAACAGGACAGCATCATGTGATAAAATATTTTATATACACACAAGGTACTAGATTTCCAACATGTTTCTTTACAATCTCATTAGTTCATGATTAGTATATGAAGCTAAAATTGACTATATTTATGTCCAAAAGTTACTCTTTGCATGATAAAAGTTACTTTACAGAAAATGTTGGCTATAAAGTTACTTGCTGAGATGCATCTAAATGTTGCCATGTTCCAATTAAAAAATAGAAATGTACTGGAAGGATCTGAATATACCAATTTTTGAAGACAGAAAAAGCTCACCTTGACTGCCCATTGTGGAGGCTGCAGTATGGTAGGTTTCACAATCTACACAAAATGTTCCTTGTTTTTCTGCGCCAAGTAGCTCCAATTTTCTTGTTAAGATTTCAACTGTTTGCTGAACACTTTTTCCCTCTGCTACTGGCATCTGAGATACACTAGTACAAGAAATATGTCTTTTTAACTATGAAAAACAAATACATACCTCCAAAAAACCCCTAATTTTAATGCTATGGGAGACAATACACACAATGAAATAAGTATAAGAAATGGAACATCCTTAATCTGCATCAAATGAGAAGACTGCCTTTATATCACAATAGCACTTTCACTAAGTATTGTCCGGTAATAACCATAGGCAAGATATTCTATGTCCAATAACAGACAAATCAGGATTGATTTAGCTGTCAGCAGACATTTTTGCCTGTATTCTCAGTGACTAGCCAATAACATTTTCTGGTTTCATATGGCAGTAAAAAGCCATAGTTGCCCAAATGTGTCCAGAATCACTGTTATCTTTTTGTTATCTCCTTTCCTCTGAGAATGAATTGAGGAACAGGAAGAAAACATATTTTACCTAGAGAGACTTTGGTTGAACCCCCTTTAGATTAATTTCCCACCCAAGTCCTTTTGATCCTGAGGAGTCAAAATGAAAGTACAAGGTAAGCCATACATTGACCTGTGGTCCCTTCAGATAATACATTAGGGCTCAGAACAAACTGGCAAAGGCAGCATATGACTGTAGACTTTGTCTCCCTACTTTAAGCTGTAAATATTTTCCCATTAAATATGACATCTAAACACAGCCTCATACTCATGGAGTCTGTTGGTGCCCAAATACTTTTCTAAAAAAATAAAGATAAAAAGTTCTGTTTGGTCCGAACGAAACTGAAACAGTGAAACCTACAATCCCACACAGTCAATTTACTAATACATTACTACACAAAAACATTTTTGGGAGCTGATATTAGAATAAGATCAGATGTGAGTTCACAACTGTATTTCTGGCGATGTAAAATGCTCAGGAGGAAATCCTCCACCACCACAATGAACACCTTTTTAAAGGCTGGCTGAGGATGCGGCCGTGGGCTAACCGTTGCTGCAAATAAAAACAGCTGCGGCCGTCAAAACGATCACAAAACCACGGAACATGAGCTCTTGAGATGTTAGCCGCGTCTCTTCTTCGGTATCACGATCTATCACAACCTGATGGCCTCCGGGGGTGCTGGGCAAGGATCCCCGCCTTCCCTAACCGGGCAGACTGAAGGTAATGGGAGGTAGACCAGAACATCTAGCCCAGTGTTTCTCAACCTTGACAATTTTAAGGCATGTGGACTTCAACTCCCAGAATTCCACAGCCAGCATTGCTGGCTGTGGAATTCTGGGAGTTGAAGTCCACATGCCTTAAAATTGTCAAGGTTGAGAAACACTGATCTAGCCAGGTGGCTGCGTTATATTTTCCTTGACAGCAAGAGGATAACAAAATCAGAAATTTGCGCCCACCCGCCGTACGAAAAGTCTCTAAATTTAAAGCGTCTGCAGCTACTCGGGCTGCTCTATGGCCTCTCTCGTGTTACTTGCGATGGCAGTGTTTGGATACAAAACATACTACAGTCCCAGACCTTCTTCCGTTAGGCGCCAACCTTGTTCTGACATGTTCAACCGCACCTTAAGCCAGGGGTAGTCAACCTTGGCTCTTTTATGACTCGTGAACTTCAATTCCCAGAATTCCTGAGCCAGCTTAGCTGGCTCAGGAATTCTGGGAGTTGAAGTCCACGAGTCATAAAAGAGCCAAGGTTGACTACCCCTGCCTTAAGCGCTCGAACCAAAGCGTTTCTCTACTTTATCAGCTTCATAACATCAATAAAAAATATCCTACCAGGTGACGCCCATGCTTGCCACGGCCTCCGCGGGCCACTGGGTCGGTTCTTGCAGCAAGGGCGCCCGCAACTCGGGATTGCTTCCTTTCGGACTTTGAAGCGCGCAGGGACCTCCCAGCCAGACCCACGAGGCAGCTCGCCTTCCTTGCCCTCGCTTCTAACAGAAGAAACCAAAGCGGAAGTGACGTAGCCGAATGATTACAGGGACCGATCCGGAACAATCGCCTTCTAAAACGCCGCTCGGAGCGATGTCTCCTGCTCAATAATCCCTGACGCTCTTTGTGTGATGTTTACGCAGAATTAATCTCACTTAGCTCTGCAAGAAACACCTTGAGAAGAATGCACGGGTTGTCGCATAAACAAAAGAGATCGTTTGCGATAATAGCACACTAACAGAAGTGGCGCTTTTTACATCTGCTCCAAGGGCGGCGGCTGTCTTCAAATTTGTGGCGTGCGCGTGTTGTTTTTGAATGGAGGCGAGAGGAATGCAAATTTTAAAGTAGGCGAAAAAGATTTGTCCTCCCCATGCATTGTTGAATTATAACTCCCAGTATTACTCAGTTTGATCATTTTAAATTGTCCTTTTTATCTGGAAACCGATGGATTCCCACTTCGGCTTTAACGGGCAGAAACTTAACTTTCATTTAGGTATCACTTGGGCTGCTTTAACTATAAAGAGAATACATCTGTAACTCGGGGTTGAACTGTGGGGTGCTTGGTCCTTTCTGAGCTTGGCTCCCCCCCCCCTTGTAGACGTTTCATTACCCAACTCGGTAATATTATCTGTGCTGGAAGGGAGTGGGGTTTTAACCATATCTAGGGCAACTGCGACCACACTACTATAAGGATCGCGCAAATGACAATCTGAACAACTTTAGATGAAGTGAGCACGGCTATATGGAGGTGGAGAAAGGTCTTTGCTACCGGATCTCGTCAAGTAGACTGTCTCAAATATAAACTTATGATTTCAGATTGAGTCGAAAGGCTACTGTTTTCAGTGGTGGCGACAGGAATGATCAATAATTCCGAACTGATCAAACGTAAGTCTGTGTGCTCTCAATTTGCAATAAAAGTACACTACCGAGTCTCATACAGCTTCATCTTAAAGTCTCGACAGGCCAAAGACTACACGAAAGGCCACTGACTCTGTCCAGCCACACGCCTTCTTTCCCCGGAGAACAGTGCGTCGCATCTGTGTTGTAATACCACATACAGTGCTATTCTCAAAAAAGTCAGGAAAGATAACAATAAGTAATAATAAATAGTAATAATAAATAGTAATAGTAGTAATAGTAATAAATAATAATAATAATAATAATAATAATAATAATAATAATGCCTTAGGTGCAATTCCAAAACAACTGGAGCACCACTTGAACACCATTGGCATTGACAAATTCGCTATTAGTCAATTGCAAAAGGCGGCCTTACTAGGAACTGCTTCCATCCTTTGACGATATCTGTAATACCGTCAAACATCCACATCTGCCTATCCCAGGTCCTGGGAAAGGACTCGACAGGTAGACAAAATGCCAAATCCAGTCTGAACATCTGGCTGACTGTGCGATGATCCATAATAATAATAATAATAATAATAATAATAATAAATAATAATAAGTAATAATAATAAATAATAATAAGTAATAATAATAAATAATAATAATAATAATAATAATAATACCAGTTCCAAAGAAAAAGCAGGAGACTGACACTTATGTCTCTCGGAGAGGTTTTTAAAAAGTCTCTAGGATCTCCGGAGTCACCTCTACATTCAGTGGTAGCTCTGCACCCGGGTGACGCGCATTGAGCGCATGCGCGTGGGCAGCCCGATTTCCTCCCGGAGCGGCGTGCCTCCATCGGCGGAGATCATGCCCAAGGCGAAGCGGCCGAGAGGCTCTAGCGGGGTAACGACGACGAGCGTCCCCTTGGCCGAGCAGATTGCTCAGAGCGATGCCGTGAAGCCCGTTACGAGGCTCAAGCGACGGGGCCAGGCAGGGAAGCGTGGTGGCGGGGGAGAGGAGGAGGACGAGTATGTGGACGAGAAGCTCTCCCGGCGGATCTTGCTGCAGGCTCGCATCCAGCAAGACGAGCTGGAGGCCGAGCACGGCGCCGGCAGGAGCCACGAGCCCAGGAAGAAGACGACAGTCCTGGGTGAGTGTGTCTAGAAAGCTCGTGGCTGGAGCCGAGTAGCAGAAAGACGGGATAAGGCATTTTCTTGCTCAGCCAAAGTGTTTCGAAAGACACGTGTTTTTTAAAGAACGTTTTTTTGCTTCGGTTTACCCGAAAAATTATAAATGACAATACGCAACAAATTAGGGACAAAAAAAGTAAGCCATAAGATTTACACAGGGAAAGCCAGGGTGAACGGATAGATTTTTTTAGTAGGCGTCTTAGTATAATGGTACAGGCCTCCTGGATTTCAGAATGCCATTGTGAGAGTCACCACCTAGAACAGTGTTTCTCAACCTTGACAAGTTTAAGGCATGTGGACTTCAACTCCCAGAATTCCACAGCCAGCAATGCTGGCTGTGGAATTCTGGGAGTTGAAGTCCACATGCCTTAAAATTGTCAAGGTTGAGAAACACTGACCTAGAAGGCCACTTGTGAGAAACTACAAGATAGACACCGACCCCACCAAGAATATAAGAAGCCGTGAAAAATCAAGCAGGAGTTTGATCAGCCTACCTCCCGGAGATTAACTGTCAGAGAAAGCAAAACTGCCTAGGTTCTAAAATTATGTTTGAACGCAGACTGAAAATCATTGTTTTTCCTTCATGCAGACTATCAGTTGAGGAAGGCTGGAGTTAAACTTCTGAGGGTAACTCTTGGGCTGTTTTCATTTTTTAATAGACAGACAGGATGGTTAGCTTTTCACAATCAGTAACAGAAATGTGAAATCTTCCTGACTTGTGTTACTTTAGAGCTCTTATTTTCTTTATCCAGGATAATGAAATAAAATTTGATGTAACATTGTTTTTAATACCTAGTACATGGCTGGTTTCTAGCTCCTGTTGTTACATATTTATGATATTGCATAATGTTGTATTATATATAAGACTTGAAGGACCAGGTTAGGGAGACACCATTATGGAGAAAATGTATGTGGTGGTCAAGAGTCAACACAGTTTGATGGCACATAATCATTATATAGGTTCAGTAAACTCTCCATTTAATAGATTGTGGTGTAGTATTTTGCATAAAATATGTATGTGTAAAATCCCATTTCAATGTATGTAGACCTAACAGGTAAGGTAGATATTGATTAAATGCCATTGGGTTTAATGGACATTCTGGTGTAACAAATACCCCTTCCCCCACTTATTTAAATGAAAAATGTAATCTAAAGTTGCTTCCTCTAAAATATTTTCTTCTTTCTTTTTCAGGACCTACCTCAAAGGATGGAGACTCAGATGCAGAGGATGATGAGTGGCCAGTGCTGGGGGCAGCTGGAGCCATGGGGAAGGAAGAGTATTGTGAAGAGATGACTGTAAATCCAGATGACGAAAAAGCCATTGAAATGTTCATGAGCAAGAACCCACCAGTGAGGTAAGCCAGATGATCAAATACTGATATTATGGTAACATCTAGGATAAATTGTGAACAGATGAGGTAAATGGAACTTGTTGAGATGGCTAATTTGAGCCGAGAAAAGGCAGTATCTATGTTTATTCCCAATTGGCAACACCTCAAGGACTTTTTGCAGAAAACAAAAAAAAGGAACTTATGATTTGGGTTTTTGATTAAGCAAGATAAATTATAGAAAGAAGGGAGACAGGTTGTTGCCACAGAGTAAGAGATAAGTTTATAATTGCATTTAGAATTAATGTAAAGAGGATCAGAAGCCTCAGGGTCTTTTCCAATGAATTGTCTCTTCGCATTTGATGGCCATAGTATTGAGCTTCAGCTTCAGTACAGGTACTCCTCAACTTACAACAGTTTGTTTAGTGACCGTTCAAAGTTACAATGGCACTGAAAAAAGTGACTTATGACCGTTTTTCACACTTATGACCATTGCAGCATCTCCATGGTGACGTGATTTACATTCAGATGCTTGACAACTGACTCACATTTATGACGGTTGCAATGTCCCAGGGTCATGTGATCCCCTTTTCCAATCTTCTGATAAGCAAAGTCAATGGGGAAACCGGATTTATTTAACAGCCATGTTACTAATTTAATAACTGCATTGATTCACTTAACAAACATGGAAAGAAAAGTCATAAAATGGGGTAAAACTCTCTTAACAAATTTCTCACTTAACAGTACAAATTTTGAGTTCAATTGTGTTCATAGGTTGAGGACTACCTGTATCTGTCCTAAAGAATATTCAGGGTTGATTTCCTTTAGGATTGACTGATTTGATCTCCTTGCAATCCATGGGACTCTCAAGAGTCTTCTCCAGCACTACAGTTTGAAAGCATCAGTTCTTCGGTGCTCAGCCTTTTCTGTGGTCCAACTCTCACAGCTACACATTATTACTGAGAAAACCACAGCTGTACAGACCTTTGTTGGCAAGGTGATGTCTCTGCTTTTTAATATGTTGTCTAGGTTTCCCATAACTTTCCTCCCAAGGATCAAGTGGCTTTTAATTTCATGGCTGCAGTCACCATCTGCAGGGAACTTGGAGCCCAAGAAGATAAAATCTGTCACTGCTTGCATTTCTTCCCCTTCTATTGCCAAAAAGTGATGGGACCAGATGCCATGATCTTAGCTTTTTTAATGTTGAGTTTCAAGCCAGTTTAATTTATTTTAGGTTATAGAAGTAAAGGTATCCCTTGTCCAGTCAGTTCTGACTCTAGGGGGCGGTGCTCATCCCCGTTTCTTAGCTGACGGAGCCAGTATTATTTGAAGACATTTCCACGTTATGTGGTCAGCATGACCGTCAAGGCACATAGAATGTTGTTACTTTCCCATTGAAGTACCTATTTATCTAGTTGCATTTGCATGCTTTCAAACTGCTAGGTGGACAGAAGCTGGAGCAAGTAACAGGAGCTCACCCTGTTGTACAATGCTCAGGTCTTGAACCTGGACTGTCAGCTTTCCAGCTGATAAGCTCAACTTCTTTAATGGCTGAGCCACTGCACCCCCCCCCCCTTAAGATTATAATACAGTGTAAATTTAAATCCTTTCAATCACTTTTTTTTGTTCCATCTGTA